GTGAGGATTTCTCCTCCCCGTTCAGGACGGGCTCTTCCACCCGGCTCCGCTGTGAGGATTTCTCCTCCCTGTTCAGGACGGGCTCTTCCACCTGGCTCTGCCATGAGGATTTCTCCACCAAGCTCAGGACGGGCTCTTCCACCCGGCTCTGCTGTGAGGATTTCTCCTCCAAGCTCAGGACGGGCTCTTCCACCCGGCTCTGCTGTGAGCATTTCTCCTCCCCGTTCAGGACGGGCTCTTCCTCCAGGCTCTGCCGTGAGGATTTCTCCTCCAAGCTCAGGACAGGCTCTTCCTCCAGGCTCTGCCGTGAGGATTTCTCCTCCAAGCTCAGGACAGGCTCTTCCTCCAGGCTCTGCCGTGAGGATTTCTCCTCCCCGCGCTGTGAGGATTTCTCCTCCCCGCTCTCCGTGCCCTGCTCTGGGGGAGGAAGGACAAGGAGAGGATGGGATTTGCCTCCGCGTCCAGGGAAGGGCACAGAGCTGTCCTGCCAGGCTGGGAGATGGAGCAGGAGAGGGGAAAAGGGGCATCGATCTCCTCCTCACCTGCCTGCGGCTCCCGGGCCATCTTCCTCTTCCTCGCCTCCTCCTCCTCCTCCTCCTGCTGCTGTCCCGGCCGAGGTTTGGGGATGGAAACGCCGCTCTGGGGGAGAACCGGGGCTGAGCGCGTCGGCTGCGATGGAGCCGCTGCCCGAGCGCGGCTGGAGAGGTCAGAGCCCCTCCAGCCTCGGGGGGCTCGGACCCCGCTCACCCCCGGCCTCCCCCGCCCCACCGGGGCTCCCCGGGCTCCGGGATCGCCGCTCCGCGATCCCCCCGGGCTCCGGGATCGCCGTTCCCCGCTCTCCCCGCTCCGGGATCACCGTTCCCCGCTCCGGGATCGCCGTTCCCCGCTCCTCCCGGGCTCCGGTATCGCCGTTCCCCGCTCCGGGATCCCCGTTCCCCGCTCCCCCCGGGCTCCGGGATCGCCGCTCCCCGCTCCCCCCGGGCTCCGGGATCCCCGTTCCCCGCTCCCCCCGGGCTCCGGGATCGCCGCTCCCCGCTCCCCCCGCTCCGGTATCGCCGTTCCCCGCTCCCCCCGCTCCGGGATCGCCGCTCGCCGTTCCCCGCTCCCCCCGGGCTCCGGGATCGCCGCTCCCCGCTCCCCCCGGGCTCCGGGATCGCCGTTCCCCGCTCCCCCCGGATCGCCGTTCCCCGCTCCGGTATCGCCGTTCCCCGCTCCGGGATCACCGTTCCCCGCTCTCCCCGCTCCGGGATCACCGTTCCCCGCTCTCCCCGGGCTCCGGGATCGCCGTTCCCCGTTCTCTCCGCTCCGGGATCGCCGCTCCGCGATCCCCCCGCTCCGGGATCGCCGTTCCCCGCTCTCCCCGCTCCGGGATCGCCGTTCCCCGCTCCCCACGGGCTCCGGGATCGCCGTTCCCCGCTCCCCACGGGCTCCGGGATCGCCGTTCCCCGCTCCCCACGGGCTCCGGGATCGCCGCTCCCCGCTCACCGGCCGGTACCGGGGCGGCGACACCGGCGGCGCCGCGGCCGGAGCGTGGCTGGGGCCGCGACTCCCGCCGCTCCTCCTCTTCCTTTGTCCCTCCTCTTCCTCTTCCTCTTCCTCTTCCTCTTCCTCTTCCTCTTCCTCTTCCTCTTCCTCTTCCTCTTCCTCTTCCTCTCCTCTTACTCTTCCTCCTGCTCCTGCTCCTGCTCCTCCTCTGCTCCTCCGGCCCGGGCTCTCGCTGCCTGCCGCGCTCTTACTGGGAGCACTGGGCGGGAACTGGGAGCGCTGGGAGGGAACTGGGAGCGCTGGGAGGGAACTGGGAGCGCTGGGAGGGAACTGGGATCGAACCTCGCCCCGAGGGGGCTGCGGGCGGGGCCGAGCCGAGGGGCGTGGTTATGCAAATATAGCTTGAATCCCGCGTTGTGATTGGTGAATCCCGCGCGGTCAGTCCTTTGCGAGAGGTTTTGGGCGTGTCTATGCAAATAGTTTGTTTCGCGGGCGTATCGTGTTTTAATGTGGGCGTGGTTATGCAAATTAAGAGCGTGTTTCTGCGTGTTTTTGCCGTTGGTGGGCGGGATTATGCAAATATGGCATCGCTTCCCGCGCGGTGCTTTGTGGGAAGCTCCCACATGGTCACCCAGGGACCCCCCCCCAATTTGGGGTCCTCCCCTCCCCCACAGCCGCAGGGAGTCGCTCCGGGGGGGGAATTTTGGGGACCCCCCTGAAATTTGGGGTTCCCAGCCCCAAAAACCTTCAGGACCCCCAAAATCCCCCCAGGGCTCTCTGGGGACCCCCCGCTCCCCTCTTCGGCGGTGATTTTTGAGGTTTGCTGGGGCTGGGGTCCCCCCCGCGGGTGACACCCCGAGGTGCCACCCCCCCCAAGGGTGACACCCCGAGGTGTCCCCCCCTCCTTGGTGACATCCCGAGGTGTCCCCCCACTTTGGTGACATCGGTGTCCCCCCCGCGTCCCCCCGGTGCCGGTGCCACCCCCGTGTCCCCCTTGGTGACATCGGTGCCACCCCCGTGCCCCCTCGGTCCTGGTGTCACCTCCGTGTCCCCTCGGTGCCCCCGGTGCCGGTGCCATCCCCGTGTCCCCTCGGTCCCGGTGCCACCCCCCTGTCCCCCTTGGTGACATCGGTGCCACCCCCGTGTCCCCTCGGTGCCCCGGTGCCGGAGCCCCCGCCGTGTCCCCCCCGGTCCCGGTCCCAGTACCACCCCCGTGTCCCCTCGGTGCCCCCGATGCCACCCCGGTGCCCCGGTCCCGTTGCCACTCCCGTGTCCCCCTCGGTCCCGTTGCCACCCCCGTGTCCCCTCGGTCCCGTTGCAACCCCCGTGTCCCCTCGGTGCCGGTGCCACCCCCCGGCCCCCCTTGGTGACATCGGTGCCCCCCCGTGTCCCCCCTGTCCCAGTCCCGGTGCCAACCCCGTGTCTCCCCGGTGTCCCCCCGGTCCCGGTGCCCCCCCGTGCCCCTCGGTGCCCCCCCGGTCCCGTTGCCCCCCCGTGCCCCTCGGTGCCCCCCCGGTCCCGGTCCCCCCCCGGTCCCGGTGTCCCCCGTTTTCCCTTGGTTGCCCGGGCCCGGTTTTCCCCCGGTCCTGTTGCCCCCCCGTGCCCTTCGGTGCCCCCCCGGTCCCGGTGCCCCCTCGTGTCCCCCCGGTCCCGGTGCCAACCCCGTGTCCCCCCGGTCCCGGTATCCCCCCGGTCCCGTTGCCCCCCCGTGTCCCCTCGGTGCCCCCCGGTCCCGGTGCCCGCCCCGGTGCCCCCGGTGCCGGGGGCAGCACGTGGCCGCTGATCCCGTTAAGCGCCTTTGCCCGGGGGGAGGTGGCACCATGGCCACCCCCCGCACTGTCCTTGTCACCGGCTGCTCCTCGGGCATCGGCCTGGCCCTGGCCGTGCTGCTGGCCCGGGACCCCCAGCGGCGCTACCTGGGTGAGAGGGGGTCCCCGAAATGTCCCCGGGGGTCCCCAAAATGTCCCCGAGTGTCCCCGGGGGTCCCCGAAATGTCCCCGGGGGTCCCCGAGTGTCCCCAAGGGTCTCCAAGGGTCCCCAAGGCAGGGGGGGGACACGGGAAACACCGGGAGGGGAAGGGGGGGACACCCCGGGAGGGTCCCCGAATGTCCCCGGGGTGTCCCCAGGGTTCCCCGAGGGTCCCCGAATGTCCCCGGGGGTCCCCGAATGTCCCCAAATGTCCCCGGGGGTCCCCAAATGTCCCCAAGGGTCCACAAGTGTCCCCAAATGTCCCCGAGGGTCCCCAAGGCAGGAGCGCAACACGGGAAACACAGGGAGGGGAAGGGGGGGGGACACCCCGGAGGGACCCCAAATGTCCCCAAATGTCCCCAGGGGTCCCCGAATGTCCCCAAATGTCCCCGGGGGTCCCCAAATGTCCCCAAGGGTGCCCAAATGTCCCCAAGGGTCTCCAAGGCAGGAGCGCAACAAGGGAAACACCGGGAGGGGAAGGGGGAGGACACCCCGGGGGTCCCCAAATGTCCCCAAGGGTCCCCAAATGTCCCCAGGGGTCCCCAAGAAAGGAGCAGGACACGGGAAACACCGGGAGGGGAACGGGGGGGACACCCCGGGAGGGCCCCAAGTGTCCCCAGGGGTCCCCGAATGTCCCCAAATGTCCCCGGGGGTCCCCGAATGTCCCCAGGGGTCCACAAGGGTCCCCAGGTGTCCCCAAATGTCCCCAAGGGTCCCCAAGGCAGGAGCGGAACACGGGGAACACCAGGAGGGGAACGGGGGACACCCCGGGAGGGTCAGATGGACACTCCGGGAGGACCCCAAATGTCCCCAGGGTGTCCCCAGGGGTCCCCAAGGGTCCCCGAATGTCCCCAAATGTCCCCGGGGGTCCCCAAATGTCCCCGGGGGTCCCCAAATGTCCCCGGGGGTCCCCAAATGTTGCCGAGGGTCCCCGGAGGTCCCCAAATGTCCCCAGGGGTCCCCAAGGTGGGAGGGGAAGGGGGGGACACCCTGGAGGGTCCCCAAATGTCCCCAGGGGTCCTCAAGGGTCCCCAAATGTCCCCAAATGTCGCCGAGGGTCCCCAAATGTTGCCGAGGGTCCCCAAATGTCCCCGGGGGTCCCCAAGGTGGGAGGGGAAGGGGGGGACACCCCGGGATTGTCCCCAGTTCGGGTTTTGGGGTCCCTGAGGAATTTCTGGGGTCTCTTTTGGGATTTTGGGGGTTTTGGGGTCTCTGATTCTGATTTTTTGGTGATTTTTTGGGAATTTTTGGACGCAGTCCTGGCCACCACGCGGGACCTGGCCCAGGGGGGTTTTGGGGTCTCCGATTCTGATTTTTTGGTGATTTTTGGGGAATTTTGGACGCAGTCCTGGCCCGGGGGGGGGTTTTGGGGGTCTCTAAATCTGATTTTTGGGGATTTTTGGGAATTTTGGACCCAGTCCTGGCCACCACGCAGGACCTGGCCCAGGGGGGTTTTGGGGTCTCCAATTCTGATTTTTTGGTGATTTTTGGCATTTTTTGGACGCAGTCCTGGCCCGGGGGGGTTTTTGGGGTCTCCGATTCTGATTTTTTGGGTATTTTTGGCATTTTTGGACGCAGTCCTGACCCGGGGGGGGTTTTGGGGTCTCTGATTCTGATTTTTTGGGTATTTTTGGCATTTTTTGGACCCAGTCCTGGCCACCACACAGGACCTGGCCCACGGGGGTTTTTGGGGTCTCCGATTCTGATTTTTTGGTGATTTTTGGCATTTTTCGGATGCAGTCCTGGCCACCACGCAGGACCTGACCCGGGGGGGTTTTTGGGGTCTCTAAATCTGATTATTTGTGATTTTTGGACCCAGTCCTGGCCACCACACAGGACCTGGCCCACGGGGGTTTTTGGGGTCTCCGATTCTGATTTTTTGGTGATTTTTGGGAATTTTGGACGCAGTCCTGGCCCGGGGGGGGTTTTGGGGTCTCTGATTCTGATTTTTTGGGTATTTTTGGCATTTTTCGGACCCAGTCCTGGCCACCATGCGGGACCTGGCGCGGCGGGGCCCGCTGGAGGCCGCGGCCGGCGCCGCTGTCGGGGACACGCTGCGGCTGCTGCCGCTCGATGTCACCAGCGACGCGTCCGTGGCCGAGTGCCTGCGGCAGGTGCCGGGCGGGCGCGTGGACGTCGTGGGTGAGCCAATTTTGGGGCATTTTGGGGCATTTTGGGGCATTTTGGGGCATTTTTGGGGGATTTGAAGGGATTTTTTGGGAGATTTTTCGGAGATTTTGGGGTGGTTTTGGGGGGTTTCGGGGGGTTTTGGTTCTGATGGGCGAATTTTGGGGAGGATTTGGGGGGATTTTGGGGCATTTTGGGG